AAATTACAATCCCACGCACGCTATGCCAAATACTCCAGTGCCCGGAAAGCAGGAATTTATAATGAAATCGCAATGGGCGCTTTACCAGCTTTATTATCAATGCTTCCAAGCCAGCTGGTAACAATAATACTTATGTTTAACAAGTTCTTTAAGTTCCAAACTAACCCAAACTAATTGCACTTATTTTCTTGCAGTTTAATCAGACTACAGAATCATTTGCTGAAATGGTAGATAATCTAATCAGCTTGCCAGCACAGGCGCCTAGTATGCATATAAAGGTTCCAATGCGAGCCGAATGGAATACTGCAGCTTTATTTCTTCATATGAGCAGAGATCATGGCATACCTAGCTACCCACAATTGCTTCAATATTGCTCTAATTCCACTTTTGCGAAGAAGCTAACTTTCGAAGAGATGAAGTCCAACATTGAAACGCAACACATTAAGCTCCTCAAGTATCTCTATGCTGCCCCAGAAGACGTTGATTTACTTGTTGGGTTATTGCTAGAGGCACCAATCCCAGGGGCAGTAGTGGGGCCTACGTTGAATTGTCTTTTAAAGGAACAATTCATTTTATTAAAGCAATCAGATCGATTTTGGTATGAAAATGACTTACCGCCGAGTTCATTCAGTAGTGATCAAATTAGAGAAATCAAAAAGATCACTTTGGCAGGTGCGTTAATATTAGATACTATTTTTACCTCCTAATTGACACTAATTAGAAGATTAAGATTACGATAATAGAAACATGCTATGCAAAAAATAAAAATCGGAGCTTTTATACCAGTTCTTCACAGATAAACTGGTTTTTGTCAAAGTTTCTTTCAAAAACACAATTTAGAAACTAAATATAAATACACTGTAATGGTGGCATGTTTGTCAACAAATATCTACCTGGATGCACAAAAACTCTTGAAATGTTTTTCTGTGCTTTCCAATTGAGCCCCCAATAGCCACATAAAAGAAGAACAAAACGATTTAAAGCATCTTTCAAGCCTATTAGTCGGCACATGTAAGGTGAGATTAGGGTAAATAAACCCTCGATTTTGAAGAGCACAAACTCGTACTAAAGTTGCAAATTCAAGCGGATCAATTGTGTGGCAACATATTGCCACTGGCTCGAGCGAAGAGCACGAAATACAAATGTAAAGAAATTATGATCCTTTCTGTCTGTGAAAAAGTTTTCGTCTTCTATTTTGCCATGACACAGAGTCATGATGTTCATGGGGTAAGATCGTATAAAGCAGCTTTTGCCATTGCATTTTCAGCTCTATTGTGTGCGAATACTGATGATTTGGACCATATTCAACCAAAGTCGTTTGTTCAAGAGGATCCTTTCCTAAACGCGCGAATTAGTTGTGATCAGCATCCCCTGCCAAACTTGCATGAATGGATTGAGATGGACCACATGGCCGACGTCAGTGAAGACCTATTGATGGAAGCAGTAGCGAAAGCAGAACAAGAGCTCTTGGCAAGAAAGAAGCTGGAGTATAAATCGTATACTGAAAGTAAGTAGGAGTTGGAATTACACATATGTTGTTTCAAGCAATTTGCAGCCTGTTCAATTGATCAGAGTCCCAAAAACAATTTGAATCCAATACAGTTATGAACATGTGTTTGTTCAAGTGCACCTTCCACTTTTTCCATCTTATGTGTGCTAATATCCTGATTTTACTTGAGAATGTTGTGCTACTCGTTCACTAGATATGTCTCTCCCAAACGCATATTTCGTGTTGGAGATCAAGAAAACAGTGAAGCGGTTTTGTCGCACAACATAAAAATGCCGCAAAATCGCAAAACTTGCAAAGCATGTATAGTTTAATTCTAAGGGTTACGGACACAATCGGAAGGCTGCTAACAGGCCATAACATTAAAGTTGTCTATAAGAATCTTATTTTGCCTGCAAGAGTCTACCAAATATCATTCTTCTGAAAAGCATCTACACCCGTAAAAGCCGTAGGTGCGATCAAGTAGAAAATGGTAGAGCGGGACCTCAGGGAACACACAATATAAAGCTCTCAAGCTCTCAGATACTCAAGTTCAAACCGCAATAAAAGGTTAACGCAACACATTTGGACGAAATTCTATTCTACCAAGACCTAAACGATCATCTGTCGATCAAATGCTGGCTCAGAGAGAGTATGAATCAAATGCGTTACATACAGACTTGTTGGAGTAAGTTGGTGGTAAATTAAAAAAAAAACGTATATTTAAACAAACAAAATATTTGTCTTCAAAAACTGACGAAGTCCCCCAAGGCGACACAAACAGGTGCACTAAAATATGTTTTTAATGACCAAGTTTCCAAAAGACTTCTGATCAAATTTTTGGCTTGGTTTAAAACTGCATTTACCCAAAATTGATACTTTAGACTTGGTCAGTTTTAGCTTTAACCCCACGAGGTATGTATGCATAGGGGTCACAGAACATTCAAAGTATCAAATTATGTCTTATCTTAAAACGTATTTAGCAAAACTGTATTCTACAGTTAAAAACATTGGACAAAATTTAAAAACGTAATCGTTTTCAAAACCACATTCTCATTATATTTAATGCAAAATAATTATTGAAAGAAGTCAACAATATAAATTTAAAAAATCACAAATTCACAATTGAAGTTGGAAAAACAAATCCACAAAAAAGTAGATAAAAGCAACACATAATTCTAAATGTTGAACAGAAAATGTTCATTCTAAATGTGGACAATAGAAAATTTGAAAATGCTTTTGTTTGAGGCTTATATTACTAAAATAAGGGAGATCCAAAGTCAGAAAAAGTTTATTAACATTACAAAAACTTACATGGGTATTTCTAGAATGTCGGTTTCTAGTTTGAAGAATTAGGTGATCTTCTGGAACCAATCTATGGGTCTGTAAAGAGAGTATGACCTATATACATTTTTTGGTTAAAACATGTTTTTGAAAGTCTTATACTATGGTTTATTGAATTACCCTGTATAAATAAGCCCCGTTTTGTGAACTTATGATGTAAATATAGACATATTTTTGAAAGACGAACATTTTTCGAATCTTAAGATGTTTAAAGTCATTCGCTTCTTCGTAAAACGTACATAACGAGCACGTGGAAGAGTGGCGCGTTAATTTATGTTATGATCGCACATAATGTCTTGAATTATAACTGCTACATAATGGGCAGTTGATATTAATGTTAAAAGTTTCCAATACACCTGGTCTGTTTAGTTTAGGGAGTGGCAGTATTAATAAAATCTAAATAAAAATATAAACTTTACTTTAATTAGATAACATTTGTTCTAGTTGGAGGAGTTGACCCCAAATCACCTGCCGGGATTGCCGCCTCATTTAGTAAAGCTAATAAAAATGCTTTAAAACTGGCAAACACTTCCCTTTTATTCGAGTTTGCATCGAACGAAATTGTCAATTCCTTAACGTAAGTAAAAACACAAATGAGGCATAATAAAAGTTTAATTTCCGTACTGTTTAAGTAATGAAAAATAGAGTCAGCTCAATTAATTTTTATCGAAATTTTTGCCATCATTTTTTGTTTCGTTTGTGAACTATAAGTACAATTGAAAATTTGATATTTTGAAAAGTTTTTCGTAGTTGTTTTTTTGGTTAAGCCAATGCATTTACTCAATTACTAAAGTTCACCAATACGAAATGGAAACTTCAAGTTTTCAAGGATTGAACGCAGCATAATAGTTTATAGTTTGGAATAGATGCACAGATGTACCTACTAGTTGCCGGCAGAAGTAATGAATTGTTTCAGTTGATGTTTTATCTCAAAATATCGGAATAGTGGTTATTCGTTTATCTGAATTGTGGTGTTAAATTATTGGACCTCATCAGTTATCCAGAAAACTGGAATAACTCTGAAATGTTTTTAAAGAAAATACTGAAAAAAGTTATATGTAAAAGACGGCACAAAAATGGAAATGTGAGGAACTGTTTACATCGATCATATGCTCATAGATGGATAAGAAGGGACAAGCATATTAATTGACTAGTCAGATTACCCGACTTCACTCCTTGTAACTTTTTCTTTGGGAATTCTTCAAAGAAAAAATTCTTCCAATTGATCCCGCGGATATAAAGAGAATAAGACACGCTTCCTACGAAATATCGGTTTTTTTTTGTATTTTAACTTCAATATGTCCCAAATACATGTTTGCAACCAATTTGGGATAAGGTAAGAAGAGTAATACAATCCACACTTTCTTTAAGATTTCGATTTATTTTTATTTATAAATTAGTCAGCAACTAAACTGGGAGAAATCTCTTAAGTCGTCTGGGGAATTCTGAGCCATTCCAATCAGTTTCACTTTTTTACTTCTAGACGAAAAAAAAAGACAAAGATTTCAATGGCATTCATTGCATCAAACTCGACTACATATTGGTGCGGCCATATTCATCTGCTTTCGAATAAGCGAAACAGAAAACGGTATATTTTTGAATCTATTTAATGTATGGTTTGTTATATCTTAGACACTTAAGACGACGGCGCCAAATATTCGACAGTGAATCTTTTGTCTCAACACTCAGAGACGATATCAGTGAAGGACTACAGAACGTAGACATATCTTCACTTATTCCTGGACATATATTTCCTGAGCCAGATTTGCAGTGTGATGAATTTGGGCCTTGCGATGGCTCATATCCTTATAGGAGCTATTCAGGATACTGCAATAATCTGAAAAATCCTAAACATGGCCAAAGCTTGGGAACATTCAATAGGCTGCTGCCCAGCGCGTATGATGATGGTAAACATTATATAAAATTAATAACCTACTGTTTGCTGAGGCTTTATCGAAACAAAATGGTCACCTGTTTAATGGTTCTGGTTTCATTTTAAGGGATATCCAAGCCTCGCCAAATTGGAGCAACAGGCGTTCATTTGCCTAACCCAAGAATGATATCCCGATCAATCCACCCGGATATTAGTAATCTGCATAAGCGTTATACTCTCATGGTTATGCAATTTGCTCAATTCTTGGACCACGACCTAACGTTCACGCCAATCCATAAAGGATTTGATGAGTCCATCCCATCCTGCCGTCCATGTGATAGTGCAAGGTAATTTTAAACCTGCTTAGGTATACTAAAGCTAATTCTAAGCTATTATGCTCTTAACAAAATTAAGCATTGAGTTATGACAGAAACTTGATTGGACTAAAACTTTATATCAGGAAGAACTTTTCATCTCACGTTTGAAGTGAAACTCTCGTTACGAGGAAACAGGTATTTGCTCATAATTATTATTTACTTAGCCGATGAATCTTAAACAGCAGCAACTCTGGTACAAAACGCAATTGTACATTTGTGACACTTTTGTGATTTCTTTAGTCACTTTATAGTATTTTTTAACCGAGCATAGCGACAATTATTATCTCAGTCTATTAGGGATGGTCGGTATTTAACGCAACCGCTAAAATAACAGTGTTCCAGACGTGTAACCGGGAACCGCAGTTACACTTTCCCAATTTAACCGGTTTTTTTTTGGAACCGTCCGAAAACGTAGTTCGCACGAGCCCAGATGCAGCAGTTTCAGTTTCGCCCATAAGAATTAGTGTTCAGTTCTCCAGGAACCATAATCGGTCAGATCAGCGAAATATTGTTTAGTTTCGGTGATGATATACTTCAGCATTTTTAGTCTATAAATATTACTGATAATGTGGATTATTTAATGTTATTGTTGACTTAATAACTAATAATTAAAATGTTATTACAAAAAGTGTGGTGCCCCATCAATCAGAGGCAGTTCAGTTAAAAGAGTTTAATTTGTCAAGATATTGACAGACTTGTTTTATAACAATAAACACAAGTATATTAGTAACTACTTTTCTTCCATGCGAGAGATATTTTCCAAATCGGGTGCTATCATCAACGAGCGAAGAACTAGACTTCGCAGCAGTCAAAGCATACACAAAAAAAATATTCTTAAATGTTAATGCATTTTTAAATGAAAATTTAAAAAATTAAAAATATTTAAACCATTCGATTTTATTATCAGTTTTATTTTTCCTTTCAGTAGTTATTTATGACTTATGAGAATATTTAATTTTTAGTTTGCCAATGCTAAGAATTATTTTTTTAATAAACTAAATCATGACTTATCATCATTATTTCTACCATCATCATGATTGCGAATTTTTAATGAAAAATTTAAAAAGGAACATGTTCTTTTGGAACCTCTCGTTGGAACCTAATACCACAGTGAAACTGCAACGTTGTAACCTCTTGCAGAAACATAACCGTTTACAACGGGCATTAGCGGAATTTTTCTACGTTTGTTACGTAAACACACTTTCAAAATTTTAAACAGCGATAAAGTCCATGAGATTTTATAGTGCCGTATACGACATATTTTAATTACGCGCTAGCTATGGTTCACAAAATTTGGATTTTAGAGGTAGTGTTTCCATATATTTTTTTATTATGTGCTCCAATATTGAGCTGCTATAAAGTGTAACGCTCCAAGATTATTATTATATTAAGAGTTTGAATCTTAAATTGAAGAACTTAAAATGTCGATAGTATTGTCTTGCTCCCGACAGCTTTGTGTAAAAATATTTTTTTGCACATTTTTAGGCTTCAAAGAAATTTGACTTCGCCCCCATCAAATTTTATTGTTGACCAGTTTTGTTAAATGTTAAAAGAAAAATCCGAGAAGAAATGTAAGGAAATCAGGAAAAAGATATATAATTCTTAAAACAGAATGCAAATAGGATTTAGATAAAAATCAAACTTGCTCGAAAAGCCCATTATTTTCAAATTAACTTTAATATTACAAATGTTGACTTGAATGCATAGAAGGTGCATTTCCAATTAAAATAAAGTTGAGTTGTTATTGAGTTATTGTGAAGCTCTTAAATCTCTGACGCAGCGTCAATAATTTAATTTTTATACTGATGCGAATTAATAATTGTTTTACTGAAAACCCTTTTATAAAAAAATCAGATAAAATTTTACCTGAAAATGTATTGACAATCTTGTAATAAAATGCTTTTCAGGACTGTCCATCCCGAATGTGACCCTATTTTGATTCCACCCGGTGACAATCACTATCCAGAATTCAATATTACCACAGGAAAGCAAGTTTGCAAAAATATTTAAACCATTCGATTTTATTATCAGTTTTTTTTCCTTTCAGTAGTTACTTATGACTTATGAGAATATATTATTTTTAGTTTGCCAATGCTAAAAATTATTTTTTTAATAAACTAAATCATGATTTATCATCATTATTTCTACCATCATCATGATTGCGAATTTTTAATGAAAAATTTAAAAAGGAACATGTTCTTTTGGAACCGCTCGTTGGAACCTAATACCACAGTGAAACTGCAACGTTGTAACCTCTTTCAGAAACATAACCGTTTGCAACGGGCATTAGCGGAACTTTTCTACGTTTTAATTTTAAACAGCGATAAAGTCCATGAGATTTTATAGTGCCGTATACGACTTATTTTAATCACGCGCTAGCTATGGTTCAGAAAATTTGGATTTTAGAGGTAGTGTTTCCATATATTTCTTTATTATGTGCTCCAATATAGAGCTGCTATAAAGTGTAACGCTCCAAGATTATTATTATATTAAGAGTTTGAATCTTAAATTGAAGAACTTAAAATGTCGATAGTATTGTCTTGCTCCCGACAGCTTTATGTAAAAATATTTTTTTGCAAATTTTTAGGTTTCAAAGAAACTTGACTTCGTCCCCATCAAATTTTATTGTTGGCCAGTTTTGTTACATGTTAAAAGAATAATCCGAGAAGAAATGTAACGAAATCAGGAAAAAGATATATAATTCTTAAAACAGAATGCAAATAGGATTTAGATAAAAATCAAACTTGCTCGAAAACCCCATTATTTTCAGATTAACTTTAATATTACAAATTTTGACTTGAATGTATAGAAGGTGGATTTCGAATTAAAATAAAGTTGAGTTCTCAATCAAACTCAATGTTTGATTTTAAGATTTTGAAGTTATTGTGAAGCTCTTAAAGCTCTGACGCAGCTTCAATAATTTAAGTTTTATTCTGATGCGTTTTACTTAAAACCGTTTTATAAAAAAATCAGATAAAATTTTACCTGAAAATGTATTTGACAATCTTGTAATAAAATGCTTTTCAGGACTGTCCATCCCGAATGTGACCCTATTTTGATTCCACCCGGTGACAATCACTATCCAGAATTCAATATTACCACAGGAAAGCAAATTTGCTTTCCCTTTATGAGATCTTTGCCTGGCCAGCAACATTTAGGACCACGAGAACAAATCAATCAAAATTCAGCGTTTCTGGATGGATCTATGGTAAAAACAAAATAAGCTTTTTTAGCTATATTCAATTCAGCACAGGTTTTATAAACAATCCTCAGACGATGCATATAGACAATAAATATATTAGACGTTCTTTAAAGCTGAAGCAAATCGCTTGAATTTCAAGCACAAGTTTTTCTAGATTTATGGGTCTTCGCATTGCACTCTTCATACACTAAAAGGTCCTGATGGTAAGATGAATGTTACAGTTCATCCAAACCAGGGCAAAGACTTACTTCCGAGAACAGACAAACACTCTGAGTGCAGATCGAGTTCAGGATTGTGTTTCATAGCCGGTAAGAACTGTTTGCTTCAGTTGTCATTATTATCGACTAATAGATAAACAACGCCTGTTTTGTGCATCCGGTAAATCTTCGGATCGGACTACAGCGACAGAATATCATCTCTTTCGCTGCATACACGAAAACGGGTATATTTGGTATATTCTCGATTCTGGTTTCCCGGTTAAAGAGAAAGCATGAGAACCAAGCGTTACATGCAGAAGCTGTAAGAACTTACGCCGAGAAATGTGAATTGACCATTCCAATGTCCACAATTTTAAATTAATTTGTACATAATCTTTTTTCTATAATTTATTTCAAAAGTACCTTAATTAAAGTAATTTTCAGGTGACGGTCGCGCTTCAGAGCAACCGGGTCTACTTATGATTCACACCATGTATATGAGAGAGCATAATAGAGTAATGGAAGGTCTTCAAGTAGTTAATCCCCACTGGGATCACGACAAGATTTTCGAACAAGCCAGAAAAATTATAGTTGCAGGATTACAACATGTTACTTATAACGAGTTTCTTCCCAGATTACTCGGTTGGAATGCAGTCAATTTATATGGGTTGAAACTTCTCTCCCAAGGATATTATAAGGACTATAATCCATCATGTAATCCGTCGATATTTACGGAATTCGCAGCGGCAGCTTTTCGAATTGGACATTCGCTCTTGAGACCGCATATTCCCAGGTTGGATGAGAACTATCAAATTGTCGACCCGCCATTACTCTTGAGGGATTTTTTCTTCAATACGGACTATATGATGAAAGTAAGTATTTTTGATTATTATTGAGACTGTTCTTGGTCACACTTGGTCTGCGATTTCTTTGGAAATCCTCTTCTATCCTCATAGAAATTCTCTTTTTTCATAGAAATCCACGTTATAATCAGAAGAGCACAAAATTGTTATAAATTGAATTGAAACAGCACAAAATTGCACAAAAATAAATGATTAGTACATCAACCAAAAAAAATGAGTTGATTTCATCCACCAAATAAAAAGTTCTGGTAGTTTTTGTACCACGGCACAATAATTCACCACTTGTCCAAAACGGATGAACTCGATTGTTTCATCAAAATATGAGTCTTACATAAGAACAAATTCACAGTGAGCTTCCACACAATACATCGTACCATTCTCCCGATATTTCAAAAAAGAAAGGTTTTTGAAGAACTGATCATCATAAGTAGGAGCCAGATAATTTTTGGTAATAAAAGTTAGGTCAGAACGTCTTCTTTTGATGCAAAAAATACCTCAGTATCGTTTTGATCATGTGCTTACGGGACACCCTGTATGACAAAATTGCAAAAAGTTCCAAATTCTAACGCTACAAATTACGAGCAATAAAATAAGAAGCTTGCTGCTTCTGGACTGATACAAAGTACTTCATTAGAATGCACAAAGTGTCCCAACGATAGAGTAGAGTAAGTTTACTCTATCGTCTCTAAAAAATTAAATATAACAAAATATCTAATGGGTTTTTCGGGTTTTTTTATGCCTTCTGAGCCTTCAAGCAAACCACTTCTGAAGATGCAAGCCACGCGTGCTTGCGAAATGTCAAGAAGAAATCCTACTCAACGACGGCCTAAAAACYCGAAAAACTCATTAGTTTCAAGGAATGGCCTCGAAAGTCTTTATTTCTTTTGATATAACAAATTAATTTTAAAATTCYAGAAATATAAATATATACAWATAAAAAATATTCACAAGTATACCGGGTTTTTTACCGATCTCGAATTAATAAATATATTAATWTAATTCKGCCAATAGCAAGAGAAAAAATTGCGGTTGTTTCAGTCAATTACCGAACTCGATTGCAATGTATTCTTTCAATTCTAGGACGGATTAATAGACCAAATGGCAAGAGGTCTAGTTTCAACTCCCATGGAAACTTTGGACCAATTTATCACTGGTGAAGTAACAAATCATCTGTTTGAAGATAAGAAAATACCATTTTCCGGAATAGATTTAGTTGCTCTCAATATAAAAAGAGCTAGAGACCATGGTAAGTTTTGCAACTGTTTGAAACTTGATAATTTGAATTTTCATCTCCTTTTAGGAATACCGTCATATAACAATTATAGAGCACTATGTAACTTAAAGAGAGCAACAAAATTTGAGGACCTAGCGAGGGAAATTCCCATGGAAGTGATCCAGCGATTGAAGAATCTATATGCAAGCGTAGATGATATTGATCTATTTCCAGGAGGTATGGCAGAAAGACCTTTGCAAGGTGGAATTGTTGGTCCAACTTTCGGTTGCATTATAGCTATTCAATTTAGACAGCTAAGGAAATGTGATCGATTTTGGTAAGCAGCAACCCAAATRAATAATGTTGAATCTTCCTCACGCGTATCTAAGAACTATTGCATTCAGTATATCAAAGTTCTAAAGTTCTAAAAATATTTGTAATCGGTAAATCGTAAAAAACTGAATAACAAAATTGGTTTGAACATAATTGATCACACTTAAAAGTTCCGTTTATCTTATTACATTACGCAAATACCTGTGCGTAATGCGTAAACATTAAGTAAATTACCTAATGCGTAAATCAGCAAAGGTAACAGTTGAACCGGAAAACGAGCAACAATTTTAAGATTTAGCTCTAATCCGTTGAGAAAGATTTATTTTGGATTAAAAGTTGCGTATTGTAGAGTACTTTCCTGACATGAATTTTATCCGAAAACTGCACTTCAGAACCTCAACTAACATCAGTTTTCACCGTTTACAATGGAAACTTCATTCTTGAAACTTAAATCGCCTATTCGTCTTAAAGAGAGTAATTTGGTAAAAAAGGAGAACAGTGAAGTTGCAACCATTATTCCTGCCATTACTATATACCTGCGTTTCTTGCAAAATCTGCGAGGAATTTTAGGTGATGCCCGGAGTTGCTTGTTCAATTTATCGCCAGTCATCATCTATTCAGTTGCCGCTACTTGCATAATTTAGTTTTATTTAGTTTCTTCATATCGAACGTTTGTCGATCTCGAGCGAAGTTGTGGAAAGTTTATATTGTCGTCACACTCAAAACTACACCTTCCAGAGTGTTCAAAATCCCCGAATCTTTGTTACAACCTCCCACGTAATATTCAGCAATTCATTCAAACGATTGACGACATTTTTGAGTCACTCAGAATTATGCAAAAAAATACCTAAGTTATCAATGGCCAATAATTGCATATTTTCCATATTGAAATAAATACAATAAAGGCAACTGTCGTCGACAACATCCGAAACAAACTAAGATGTTTTTAAATTCACTGCATGATTCTTAGTGGCCACACCATTAGGAAATACTTGGCAAATACATCTTCTATATGCTAATATTAGACGCGCGAACTACAACGTCCAAATATTAAGTTAACTAATAATCTTTCACAATTTAACCAAAAGCTAATATTTTACTTAGGTATGAAAACAAGGATCCAGTCGTTCGATTTACTGAAGCTCAACTGGCTGAAATTCGCAAAATCACTTTAGCAAAAACCCTCTGTGATAATACTGATGCGTACAGTGATATTCAACGGTCTGCCTTCGACTTGCCGTCCAACTTTTTAAATCCAAGGATTTCTTGTAACTCAATGCCATCAATCGACTTTAATGCATGGAAGGAGTCCGCTCAAGGACAAGGTGGATGTATTATAAGAGGCAGACACGTACAGATTGGAGAAAGCACTTTTCCCAGCCCTTGTACGAGTTGTATTTGTACAGCCGAAGGGGTAAGTTGTATTCTAAACAAATGCAACCTTTCTTTTGAGAGCCATCGCAAACTATGTATTTATTGTAATATATTTGCATGGACAAGGGCGGATCCAGGGAGGGGTCATGACCACCCCCTTGAAGACTGAATATCTACTACATGACCCTCTTTGACTTGATCTCATGATATTCAAATGTAGCTTTTTGGGTTAAAACTACTAGAATTTCCTCACTCATGTTGTTATGACTGAATCGGTTTTTCAGTTCTTTATCCAACGATGCCAAAACGAATTATGTGGCTCAAATCGGGCGTGAGAAACTTCGAAAAAAGTAGCGTCATGGCTGAGTCGATTTTGCAACTAAAAAAAAACACGCAAATCTAAAACTTTCTTTCTACTACTACACTGCACTACACTTTCTAAAAAGTCCATTTAGTTATCTGTGGAGTGACGTAAAAATTACCGTTCTTGCTCGGTTTGCTTCCGAGAAATGAGCAAAAACGGGACGGAAAACTTGTTGAAAAAAAATTGTTGGCATAATCTTGCACCTAAGTGTCTGATTTTTTACAAACTTCTTTTTGGGTATTTCGCCTCAAAAATTTTTGTCTTTAAAAAAGACAGAATTTCCTCACGTCTTTTATTACAGATTGATAA